GTGTGTGTGTGTGTGTGTGTGTGTGTGTGTGTGTGTGTGTGTGTGTGTGTTTAAAATGACCCACAACATGTCCAGAAGTATAAAAGATTACAATCATAATTTGCAGTAACATTTGACCTCGGTATCTCAATAACATTGTAATAATGGAGAGCTGCTTTATGGGAAAGATTCTTGAAGATGTGGCAACGTGTCGCACACTCGACACTAATTATTGCATGCTGCTCGAAGACAAATTAGTTTTATCTTGTAGAAATGATTTCTAAACATAATGGAGCCAAACTGGTCTACAATGACATGAAGAACTCCACTAAAGAAGGTTWGTAGCAAAATCATCAGTGTTTTTCAGATGTTCAATATAAGTTCAAATCAAATTCAAGGAATTAATCAATTAAAATTCAGAAAGAGCAGCAAATTTGATCCAAAACTCATGTAATTTTTCACTTAATTCAGTTCTCAAACAACTTTCCTTTGTATATAAAGAGCATTACTTGAGTAAAATAACACAAGATAACCTAAAAGTGCCTCACAAAAAGCAACATTTAATGCAGTGTTAAAACACCCACCTGTAAATGATGCAGGCGCTGTTTCGACACGTGTCACAATTAGCCGTGTCTTGTCCTGTTCTGTAGGAGAGCCTATAAGGAGAGAGAAGCAAATGCGCAGATTTTRACTATACGTTACAACACCTGTTTGTATCTTTTTCCCTGCCTTGTTTTCATCTAGATTTACTCACAGGCGAGTCACAGCAAAAAAATTAGGAGGTTGTAAATCTCTTTGCTTTAGTTAATTACTTGGACTTGCTAATTCGACATAATAAGTTTATATTTGCTTTGAGTGTAAAATGAACAGCAGCATAGCTTGTGTTTTGAATTGTTTTAAATCTTTTTTTAAGCATAGTTTGTAGTACATTGTATATCTTCGTGTTGCATCCACCTCAATCCGCTGCAGACAGATGGTTTTAGTCAGTAAACACAAACATTTTTCCCCCTGCTGGTTTGTTGGCTTTATGATGAATGTGATTTTATGCTGAGAGCTCTCCATAAAGCACATTTGCACTATGTGTCACAGCATGTGCAGGTGAGCGCTTTAGTGATATGGGGTTTATAGGGGGAAGGGCCACGTTAGGACCGTGTGTGTAATTGCATGCTGTCAGAGTAGCCCTTCACCCTGATGGATGACATATGGGAGGGGGTTCGACCTCAAACGCTCACCATGACATGAGAGGTGGCCACGGCGGGGGGGGGGGGGGGGGGGGGGGGGGGGGGGGAGGGTTGCTGCGTGGAACAAAAATGTCGATGGAAGCTGAAGGGCAACAAGTTCATCCATCCTGACCTGTTCTCAGGATTTCCACCTAGTTGTAATTTAGTAGGCTTCACTCTAATAATCAAAACACATTGACCTAAATTTATAATCACTGCCTGTACTCAACACAACCTTCTCCTAATCAGCATGAAAAGTTCATGACCTATTGTAGTGACACTACAATAAAACACAGAATATTACAAAAACATTCTCATATAAACACAACTTTCTAATCTAATAATTTGCCCACATCAGCTTTTCTGTAATACGTAATGTTTCTGCCTACGTGCTTACGTGCACATAACACCAGAACAAAAGCTACACTAAAGGTCACAGTGTCAAGAGGCACTCCAACTTTCATTTCCAGTGATCTCCGATGTTGAATCACAACTATGAAAAAGTATTTGCATGATCACGTGCATTATATGTTTTATTGTTGGATGTTTTTGATTGTTTTAAATATAATTGTAGTATCTGCTTTATGCAAAACCAAAACAAAAACCAAAACCAAACCCAAACTAAACCAAACTAAATCAAACTAAACCAAACTAAACTAAACATAACAACACAAAACAACACAAAACAAAACAAAACAAACAAACAAAAAAAACCCAAACCAAACCAAAACACAAAACAAAAGACAATGCTAATGAAACTTGCATTATAATAATAATGATAATGATAACAACAACAACAACAACAACAACAACAACAACAACAACAACAACAACAATAAAGGCTTGGTCTTTCATCAAATACTCACCAAAGCTACAAGTCATTTGCACATTTTTACTGAGTTTTTAAAAACATTTAGAGAAGTGAAACATTTAYGTGGGCAAATGGAATATTTACACTTCCTCTTTGGTTGATCTAATTTAAAAGGTAACTGGAGAACAAAACAGAATGATACAAAACAAAACAGAACAAAAAATCATCTTGTGATGTTCTTTCCATAACAGGATCATGGAACATGTGAGGAACAGTAATATAAAGAAATTCCCCAAAAATGTTTTTTTTTTTTTTAACATTTATAAGATAATAAAAAATCTCAGTGTTATTAGAACATTTGAATGATAAAAGAGTGTCATGAAATCATAAATGTGAACACTTTGACGGGTCACAATACCCCCCGCAGCATCAGGGTTGTCAACTTAAGCTCACTGTCGGAGTCAATGTGGCTCTCTGTCAAAAAATCCTGCAACATGACAATCTGAGATCCTTCTAATTGAGGCCTTTTTTGACTTTATGACTTTGTGCCTTTTACTGCAATACGTTTTCTCTGTTTTCACAAAATATTTGTAAAAATATTGAGTCATCATGTAAAATTGTTGCCATTTACCTGTGCAATCATTATCATTTTTACAATCGTTATAATTGTTGTCATTATCTAGCATCTGTAACCCAATAATAAACTCTCTTTTCCTTTTCAGTCATTAGGATATTTTCCTTTTGCCCATTTAGTTCAAAGTCAGTATCAGTTGGGTCAGTCTATGCACAGAGGATGATTAAATGTTGCAATTTAGTTTTATTTTCTTCCTTTAATAACAATTCCCTTATAAAAAAAATCAACAAACTTAAATTGAGGTTTTTCAACCACATACCAACAACAGACATTGCATGCCCAATATCTCACCGCTCTGTACACCTCCTGATGAGCCAAAAAGCCATAGACATTGCAAAGGACTCATCACACCCTGGACACTGCCTTTGCTTATATCACCAGGAAGGAGATACAAAGCAAAGAAATGCAACAAAAACCTCAGGTCAAAAAGTATAATTTGTACATTTATTCAGTGCAATTCATTCTGTATATTTACCTGTACGCACATTTACCCAGTACCATTTTTATTAATTCTGCTTTTGATTCTATATTGTTTTCTCCTATTTAGTTTTGTGTGTGTACATTTGTTACTACTGAACCCTACGCTGAGTCGACTGCACAATTTTGTTGTTTTTTGTAAAAGTGCCAGTGACAATAAAGATCTTATCTTATCTATATTATCTAACAAACTCATGTCTTTTTTGTTTACTTTGAATRAGTTTATGATAAAGCAAGCTGGTCAGAACTCTCAGAAGAGTTTCTGCATGTTATCGTGAGAGAATGACAAATATGTACTGAATATGTAAGAAACATATTGTGAGTGGACATGCAAGCTTACGGTGTAGATGCYTTAATGCTCAATTCAAAGTCTAACTTTAAAAAAAATAAACTCGTTTTTTACAGCCAAATGATGCAAAAGCAAAAAAAGGATATTTGTGAAAGCAGGCTTTTTTGTTTGCAAATTGCACTTCTGATTCACAGTAGTAAAACAGAACACTGCAAATAAAGCAGGCATAGTTTTGTGGARATGAAAAGCAAAATGTTATGAGGCCGCACTAATTGGACCTTTAGAATCAAGTTCCACAGAACACTGCAGGGTGCCTCGGTGTTCGCTGAATAAGAATCAGACTCTTGTTTAAAGTAAATAAATAAAAATGCTTGCTATGAGTTTTAAACCCGGAACATTTTGTGCTACCACGAGCCCAGCCATGAATATGTTTTGAGGACTCAAGTTCATTAATGTTTTTACTCTTTTAAACRTTTCCAATTAATTGTGAAGCAGAGCAGTTTGCGGTATTTGGTAGAATTCGAGTCAGAACACACAATTCAGGATCCAAAGTGCCTTCAGCTACTGTGCTACAATCTAACACTCGTGGACACCCTCAAGTGTTCTTCGCCCTTCTWCTGACTGCTTAAAGTTGTTTTGTTGGTATGAGGGGGTCTTGCTGTAAGCTTGGCTTGAATTGTAGTATGTCTGATGTCTGTTTAAATAACTTAGCAGATTTTCATTACATATAACAGTGACTGATTTGCATCTACCTTAACTAAGCTGTTTAGAAAGCACTTATTGTACATGTAGATGCTGTGACATGACTGAAAATAAATAAATAAATAAATAAATAAACAAATAAATAAATAGTACCTTAACAGTTGAGTAAACGTCCAAAAAATATTCATAATATAGACAAACAAACAAATAAACAAACAAACAAACAAACAAACAAAACAAAACAAACAAACAAAACAAACAAACAAACAAACAAATAAATCATACCTTAACAGTTAACTAAACATCCAAAACCATTTCCTAATATAAATAAATAAATAAATAAATAAGACACATGCTTTTAAAACCTTCTTCACATTTAAATCACTCATGCAACTGTAATCCTTTGATATGAACTCATCTTTCGCCCTTTTTCTGAGGTGTGTCTTTCAAACTCGTTTTGTTGCTGTCCCTTTAAATCCAAACAATGTGCTTCCAGACAGACCAATTGTACTTTGAGAGCATCTATAGGACTATAAGTGGCACAGAAACCTTTTATTTACAAATGTATTAAAAGATGTCAATAACAGAAGCTTACTACCTGTTGGAGCCAGAGTCTGGCCCAGAGCCAGAGGAGAATGAAAATGACAAAATTGCRTAGTTGGTAAGTTCATAAATGATTTGGCAGTTCCCTCACAAACACTGTGATGTTTGCAGAAAATGTCACAGAAAAGAGAGAAAACTGAACAAGTTGAAAAATAAGACCCAAAACAGAATATAAAGATATCCGCAGCAACGGGAAAGGCTAAATTCTAATTTTCTGCAGTCAAAACGTATTTAATGGCTAAAAAAGTGAAATATGTCCCCCTTTATAAACATGAATTTTTACCCATAACAAGAAGGACAATATTTTGCCTTGATGATTAAAAATGTATTTCCATAATCCCAGCATATAAAATGTTATTATATAGGATCTCATAAATAAAACATGTTTCATTGCTGTTAGTATAAATGTACAGTACAGCCAATACAGTAACTTTATCAGAAAAAACTGGCATTTGAACTTTGTGGTGATGACAGCTTGAATGTGTTTTTACAATATATATTTTTTTACTATGAAACCTGTCTGTTTCGCTAAATAAATAATATAACCAAAACAGACTTATCTGAACAAAGAGCATGTGTTCACTGTCTTTGGATTTGGTTAAAATTAGTTTTTGCTCAGAACAAAACATTTGGCAGCACTGCAGTGCAGAGTTGATGCATGACTTCCTTTCTTATATAACAAAGTTTAGGCTTGCGTTTCTGGATACAGAGGCAGATATATGTTGAATGACAAATGGTTTTCAATGTACTCATGAGTTTATGTGATTATATTGATCACAGTGGCATGGCCATTACTCTGATAATGCAAGTCACATAGAAATGTGATTTCCAGCTATTTGATGAGGTTTCTAACTTTTAAATAATTTTATACAATTAAATTATTTGCTGAAGGTGTTGAAAAATAATCTATATATTTTTTTGCAATCKTATTCTTATTTTTTAACTTCTCCTTTTTTTCCCCTAAAATACTGATAAAGAGCTAGAAAAAATATAAAATAAATTAAAACATAAAATAAAATAAGCAGAAACTCTTCATATTCATTTCAGGTAGCACCATCTGATATCAGTTATTCTGTTGTTTGTTGGACCTTACAGAACAGTGGCATTGGTCAATTAACATGTCAAATACTTCCTATTTACTTATGAAATACAATTTCTAATTAATTTCTAATTAAATAATTACATAGTTCATTTTGAGCAAGGCTTTCCAACCCTGCTCAAAATAGTTTGTACTCTTCTGCTTTCCTATCCTAATTTAGTACCCCTGTCAAATGTACTTAAATGATACAAAAATTGTCCACTGATTATAATTTAGTAGGTTCTTTAATATTTAATCCAACATATTAAAGATAATTAACCTTTTGTATTAATATAAGGCTCATTGAGGTTAATTGTTTTAATGTGGGACAAATTACTTACCAAAGTGTCAAACAGCAGCAGTCAGAAAGTCACAGAAAGGCAAGCTTGAAATTAACTTCTATATAATGAACAGTTTATTGTTGTCTTTGCAATACCATAAATATCAGGTGTAATGATACATCGATCTATATCGATATATCAATTTGAATGGTTCATGATTCAGTCATATTGAGGCAAAATTAAAATATCGATCTATATCGTCATCATTTGCTCGATGGAATCAATATCTGCCTGTCTAACACAGTCATTGTGTTAGACAGGCACATGATATTGCATTATATTGATTGCAAACATGTGAATTGAATTMATTCGAAATCATATTGTGACAGACTTTGTGATGGAGAAATACTGAATCGTCGTCCAAACATAGTGATGTAATATTGTATCGTGATAAAGCTGGTGATTTACACCCATATATTACGAAAAGAGTTTTAAAATGATTTAACTTTATACCATACATTCAGGCCAGCTTCCTAAAATTTCTCAAATGTTATTTGAATATTTATTTTATAGGTATAGAAGGTAAAATTATACATCAATATTTGGATATTTAAAACTTTTTAAAGGGCCAACATCTTCTTCCTTCTCTTGTCAAATTAAAACAAGTTTTGTATTTGTTTTTTGCCAACAATGATCTCCAGAAATATGGAGATATTACAAACAATTGTAATGAATGAGTATGATCCTGTATACTAGCTTCTATTAGTAGTGTTTAAAATGTGCATTCACAGTGTGTATTGCGTGTGTTCAGGGACAACACTTTAAAACTCYCTCCACTCACCCTTCTCTTTGCGCTTCACCCTTCTCCAGCTCCTGAATAACTCCGAGAAGAACCTTGATGGTCTCCTGGCTTGAGCTGATGAGACTCTCCATCGCCTGCAGCTGTGCTTTGATATCCTTGTCTCCAGATAAGGGCAATATTTGCTGGCTGCTCCCCATGCCGGGGGGCTTTGTGCCCCCTGGTGGAAAGCTCCCGTCCCCTTCATCTGATTGCTGGAGTTTTGATGAAGCAGACACATGCCTCGTCCGACACTTCCCTTGTGACTGCACAGAACATTTGGCACTATGAGGAAAGGTCTGCGACTGCTGTTCGTTTAGTTGCGGACCCTTTTTCCGTTTACAGCTTCCGGSGGGGCTTCCTATAGACTCCACATTTGTCAGTGAGTTCCATGCAACTGGACCCATGCCCTTTGATTTGTTTTGTGAAATCTCAGAATCCATCAGCTGACGTTTTGTGGAAGTGCCACCATCCATTTCTTCTGTGGATAATCCTTTATGTTTGGCCCATTTCCCACAAACCTGGTACTCTGGTTCGTCTTTAGAAGAAGGTCCACTCGGATGACTCTCTTCCATGAAAGTTGTGGGCTCTGGACATGAGGGTCCATCCACACAGTTGGCACTGGAGAGCAAATCGTCTGCATCACTGCTGTCATCAGTGTGGTGAAGCAGGGCTTTTGTTTGCCCTACAATCTTACCCTTGTACCGAGAAGACTCCCCAGTTGCTTGTGCGTCCTCTCCTCCTGCTTTTATATCGCTCAAAAACCCATTGTTATGTCCTCTGTAATCTTCCACCAAAGCAGTATGTTTAAACGTGTGTCCTTTTTTCCTCTCAAACGGGAAAGTCTTGTATCGCTTAGTGAGGTCGGGGGAGGTCTGAACACCGGTGCTCTTGGTCACGTTTGGAATAGAGCGTCTGGCGGGCATGGTCATGTACTTTCTGTGGGTTACTTTGCAGGAAATGGATCGTGAGCGTCTTCCCAGGCGCTCGTTCTGAGCTTCGCAGATATCCTTAAAACGCACTTGTAAGGCTTTGTTCCGTTTCTTCACCTGCTGCTTGCCGGATTCTGCCTCGGAGTGTGCAGTGTGCGACTGGCCCGTTTCTGAGTCAGAATCATCTGAATTTGAGAGAACAGCACATGTGATGTCCTCTTTGCTCACCATATTTCCTGAAAACAGAAAAGAGATAGTTAGTGTCACATTATTATATTTTTAGAAAATTTTTCCATGTTAACAGCTGTCCAGTTCTACCTACTTTAATAACCACTGCACTTATTTTGACTTTGAGAAAAGAATCAACTGATCAATTCATGTTACCCACCACATCACCGATTGGCAATGCTATTTAACCCAAAATGATTGTAGGTCATCATTTTTATTTTACAAATTGGGCTAAAATGTAATGTGGCAAAAGCTGAGAGTCATTTAGTAGACATGGGTTGAACCTAAATATCGCCATATCTGAACAATATCTGAACCTAGCATCGAACAAGATTGCGCATAATGTTAGTTTTATAGTTTGAAATGGTAACAACTCCAAGATGATCTTGGTCTAAAACTTTGGAAAAAATGTGACAAGAGAAAATGCATTCCTTCAATAAATGTTAGCTCTTTAGTTTGTTTGTTCCCATTCAGTGTTTCAGTTTTAAAAGTTTCTTTCTGTTAACCTTGTTGATGAACAGATGGTCTTAAATAATGCAAGTTTCACTGGTTAATGTCACTATCTTTAATTTAGTAACACACTTTTGTCTCGTGGTTTGAACATTGCAACACTTCAACTCACACTTCGGGACAATTTAGAGTTACCAAATAGCCTAACATTTATGTTTCTGGTCTGTGGGAGGAAACCAGAGTACCCCGGGAAAACCCACTCATGCACAGACAGAACAGGCAAACTCCACCTACAAAAGGTCCCTGGACGGGATTTGATCCAACAACCTTCTAGGTGAGAGGCAACAACAATCCCAAATACACCACAGTGCCACCCACTCCAACAATATTTAAGAGGATAAAACCAAACAGCTACATTTTTTTTTGTCTGCTAATTGTTCTGATGCACAGCTCCACTCTTCAAACACACTCATCCCGTCGTCATGCAGTGATTTCTCACATGCCAGTTTTCCGGCTACTTGTTTGATGATTTGCTTCAGGAGACATTTTTGGAAAAAAATAATTGTCCTCATGCTGCTGCCCTTGCTGTTTCTTGCTATCATTTAAATACCTTTTATAAACTTCAATACACAACTCAGGAGATAAATAGCTTTTCTGTTAACATTAGATACTACTGTTGAATTATTAAATAGCCGTGATAACAGAAAGTAAGTAGGTATTGTTTTTCGTGGGAGGTGTATGCTCAACAATCTCATTAACACATTGGACTGCTAAAGTAGCTGACTTTGCTTTTACTCATAAATGCATTACAACATGTTTGTTTTATTGATTTATGTTTTGGCAAAACAGCAATACTTTCATCTTTTAAATAATTTGTTTTTTGTGGATTAGAATATGTCTATGGAGATTCATACAAAACTTGCGGAAATGCTGGCATATTTAATGCAAGAGTGTGCATTAGCTTGACATTCATTTGCTTTTTGTTTTGTATAAAATATACATTAGAAACAAAATGAGCTCATGAGGCAGTTTGGATTAGTGTTGCTCCTTACATCCAATCAAATTTACTGTTTCTCTCCAAAATAATGCAATCAGCCACACCTACAGCTAACCCCATTTCCAAACTGACTTCATATCATTTTAAATAAAATCTGAGTAGGTGTGTTAAAATTACTTGACAATATATGGCCCTCAGTGGTTGGTGGTGTTTTGTTTTGAAACAGCTGAAGGGTATTGGCAGCTTAGCCCCCTAGCTAGAGGTGTTTACTATATAAAATATTCCTCTTGTGGTCTGAGGTCCCCAGCAGAGGAAATGGCCTTACAGCAGCTGTGGCCCACACATAGTAGACTGGAAATAACAACTGGTGTTGAGCTCTTCAAGCTGTATTCACCTGAAGGTACTAAAGCTCCTGAGGGGGAAATTTATTATCATCACTCCTGAATCTCAGCTGTGCTGAGTGAAGTGGCGAGGTCAAGAACTAAATACAAAATATGAACTGTGGATGCTCTTCAATCATGGTGTAAATTTGGTGTGAGTGAGATGGCTGAATGTACAGACTACACTGTAATATCAACAAAAACATACTGATCAGGAACACACTTACTCATGCAGTTAGTGATCAGATTAAATACGGAGCTGGCCTAAAAACCACTTAATATTTTGAAAAAAAATTATATGTATATAACTAATAGTATTGGAATTTCTTATTTTATCAAAGTCTAATGACATAACATGCAAATCAAGTCAGAATTACATCACACAGCTAAAAAAAACTGCAAAAATCATTATTAGCAATATAAAGTGTAAATTTTAAGAAAAAAAACAGCATACTCAATATGGACTGGCGAACGATGTGAGACGTTTCCTTGTGCAAATGCAAGGTTCATGCTTTTGCACAAGGAAATGAAATGATGTCTGATACAGTTGAACGGAAACATAAGAAAGACCTAGTTAATCATTTTCATATGACAAGACATTATGCGACAAATAAAGTCCAACGAATCGTTTATTACCACACAAAAGCGAGCTATTCATGGTTTTGCAGCTCCTCTGAAAGTAATTATGTTTTATCATCCTGAGACATTGTAAATCCATCAGTGTGATTGTTCTGGTGGGAAATTTACACTGAAGAGATGTTTCCTTACTGTCACTTTCACTACCTCTGTTAAATCTGTAAAACAGAAACGGCACGGAATGAACACACAAATGTTCATTTCCGGTGTATGGTTGTCTGCAAACAAAGCACATGTGGAAAGAATTTGAAGTTATGGTTAAAATGTCAAAATGAGTTTCAATAAAAGACCTACTCCTTCAAAGAATGCACATTGCTTGATGCCTTTCACATCAGAGTTTTATCTTATGAACATATGATGAAAACTGACATAAAAAACACGACACACCGTTTCATGCTATAAAGCAAAACCTCACGTGATCTTGCATTATCTTATGTTATCAACTAGTGCTTGGAACATGTGTTGTGAATAACTGTCAGCAACCACCTAATMAAATTCTGTCTCAATATCTAAAAAAACAAAAACAAAACACTGGTACAGCCAATTTTAGTAGGCTAAGGCTTTAAAGGTATTCAATTACACAATATTTTACTTTGCAAGTTTTAAGAAAATTCATCCAGTTGATTTTGTCAAGAGACCCGACCGCTCCAGTCATCACTAGAATTGGAATCAGACCTGCAGAGCATCCGCTTGACCCACAGCAGAGGAGGGAGCGTGACAGGAAAAGAGGCCACAGGAAGAATCGAGGTGAAGGCCGAGAAGAGAAGAAAATGAAGCGTCATCGGGAGCAAGAATGATTATTGAAGTTAATCAATTTTAATGCAAACAGGGTTGATTACATTAGTTAATGCTAAGTAAACAAAGTTGCCCTCAAAGTCTGTTTTGGGAACAATGCTCATCTATTACCACAACACATTAGGCTCAATATCTGTAGAAATAGCTGTTTTTTGTGGTTTCTAAGTTTAGATGGTTGTAGTGGGTATCTTGAATTGAGTTCAGTTCAAAGGCTAATCCGTTCGAAGATGTACACTCAGTGGTTCCTGAGATATTTTGCTTACAGACAGATGTAGTTGATGGCAACATTTTAAATACAGATGCTGCATGATCCATTAGCACCTAAAGTATTAATTGGGAATCAGTCTCAACAAGCAACACTTGAAGTTTAAGCTCATTGTGACTCTCGCACGCAAGGCGGTCCTATTGTTTTCATGCTGTTTTTTTTTCTTCCTTCTTCAGTGATTTTTGGTCAACTGTATCACAGAAATAGCTGCACCGTTCAACATAAAATTTGGCAGGCATGTAGATGTGTCCAACCAACAGTTTTGTGATGGACCCCATATGGGAGGAGGGAGCTCCATCTAAAAAGGGGGTGTCTGGACTTTCAAAAATGCTTACTTTAAAACTATTCAACATTAGGAGCTTCAGATTTTTGTTTTGTTGTTTATCTCTGATGAAGGGCTAGTCATTGGGCACACCAATATGCAACCCCCACCCACCCCTTTGGACCCCCACCCAAAACAATAAATCTGTTCAGGTGAATTCTGTGTTCTGGTGCGTTGGTGTTTTGCATACCTACTGGGTTAAATATGCTATCCCATGGGGTTATTTATAAATTTGACTAACTTAGTCATTTTTGTGTTTGCTAAAATTTCTCTGCTGTGTCGGCCATCTTAAGTCAAAGTGACCAAACGTTTTACAGTTGTGCAACATGTTACTTTTTGAAGGTTTAGAATCTGTTAAGTGACTTGAGATATTTTGCTAACTGTAGAAACAGAGAGGCAAAAGCACAGTCTTTCTGCCTTCACCTTTGGTGGCGAGCAATAAGCAACTCAAAAAAGAGAAAACAGAGCACACTTTGAAACAATGTTTAAACGCCCATCATTTATTTGACTGCGTTTTTTTCCCTTTTGCATTTTTTTCTTCATGAAGCGCGTTTGCATTTGTGTGTGTATGTGCGTTCACTTGTAAGTTCTTTGTCTGCATGTACAAGCAAAGTAAAAAAAAAAGTCAGGAGGTGAGTAAGGATTGGTGTTTGTGTGTGTCACCTTTTCAAAGAGGAAACTTTGCCAGCTTCTTAAAAAGTGCACACAAAGACACAAGCACACACAAAAGCAGACAGGGACTGATAACAAAGAGCAGGGGAGTGTATTTTTTCTCCAGATTTCCAGCTTTGTACTTTTCAGTGCAGTCGGTTCATGGAAACCAAACCCTTTAGCTTAAACTATCTGCTTTTAAAACAATGCACGCCAGTAGCTGTATTGCTTTCAGAAGCAAACGGAAATAAGAATAATGGCAACAAATAACACAACTAGCTCAATTTCATTGTACAGCAACGATATGGCATGCTGTGTCATGATTTCACACAGGTTTTTTTTTATTTGTTTTTTGGAATATGAAGCAGATGGACGTTATTAGAGGCCTGTCTTTGTTCCGAAACACGGCTTGGTATGCACTTTGGTTTGTCAAGTTGTTGTTTGTTGAAGCAGTTTCATAGATGAAGAATTTGTTCGAGGCTGATTCACATGAGATCGTATTATTTTACACTCAGAAACACCAATCTCACACCGCTGAAAAGGTAATCACATCTGCAGGAAGTCTCCTCTAAGCGCATGCAATTTCTCACGCTGGCGTGCAATGCATGCAAAAACAGCTAAATGGGATCGAGCAGGGGAAAAAAAAAGGGGGGGGGGATCAAGAAAAGCTCTTTAATGAGTTATTATTGTTGGAAGTCAGATACAGGGAGAGTGAGAGCCAGCTGAGTGAGAGACTGTTGTGACACATGGATGTGTTCAGACTATTGAAAGAGAATCTCCTTTTTTTTCTCCACGTCTTCTGTCTCCTCCTCCTCACAGCAAGCTATCTCTGCTAATGACCTGAGGTCCTTCTCTGATTTGGCCTCAGCTATCCAAAGGATTATGAATAATGTATTGAGTCTAAAATTGCAAAAGTAATCCTCTGAAATCTCCTTATGTATCCTGACAGACCACGTTGTCTGGTCCAATTGCCCTTCAGTTCTTTAAACAGAAAATGCTGCATGTGTAAAAAAAAAATCCTTAGCCACAGTAACTTGATTGATTATTGTGACCCCAATGCTGGAGAAACATGATATTTATGAGGACTTTTAATAGAGGTTTGTATCCATTCTCAATGCAATAGGGACTCTGCAACACTGCTGACTCATGATTTCCTGCTTGTTGCAAGCAAGAGAGAAGAGCCTGCTTTGCTACGATCCCCTTGTATCCTTGTGTGCCTGCCTCATCATGATGAATACTCAGATGTATCAGTAGAATATTTACATTTGACAACACCGTCTAGCCATTCTCATAAGTAACAGCCCAACACATTTCAGTCAGCTACTTCAAGTGGAAACCCGTAAAGCTGCACCAAAACATACATTATGCATTGCAGTTTAAACCCATCCTTTCTATTAAGGCACAAGTTGTTGTTTTTTCATCACCCCCCGGGTGCATGGCACTGTGCAATGACTCCACTTTGAATGTGGAATTTTGACTCACCATTTGCATTAATTAGAGTGTGACATTGCACCATCTATTGCACTCACAAGCCCAACGCGAAGGATGTGAAGTCATTAAATGCTTGTGTCCTGTTCGTGAGGCTTTGCTACCTGGTCCTCTGTATGACGTTACAGTAGAGAACAGGTTTCTGTTGCGGTAATATTTATCTCGACGCTGCTCACTTGTGTGTCAAAAGCAGAGCACAGTCAGCTTTCAGAGCTCCACAGTCACGAAGACATGTGCACCATCTTTATTCCAGCTGTCGCACAGAGCTATCCATATCTATCCCAGCTGCAGGCTACACCTGTGAAAGTTTGCTTTATGACTTTATTAGCTTTAAACATTTATCACGGAGCAGCGGTTTTCATTATTGTGGAAAAGGGTTTAAGAAGCTTCCATCTCTGAAGTCTTCAGTGAGAGCGCGCGGGCTGTGAAATGGATTCTAGGGAGGAGTAAGTTTAAAGAGACTGATAAGAAATAAGACTTTTTTTTTATTTATTTGGGCCTTTGTGGTTCGATTACAAGATAATTGAGCATTTGTTCCTGTAACTTCTGGACTGCATCACCTTGATGAAATCAAAGACAAATAAAGGGATGAGTTTGTGTGTAACATTTGCAAAAAGAAAAAAAGTGAATGATGCTTCAATTACAAACACACTCAGGTGGCACCTTTGAGAAAAGTGTCCTCTCTTTCTGTAAGATTGGGTTTTAAAGGAATGACCTGCAGAAAAGAGAGGGACAAAGAGAGGGAGGGGTGGGTGGAGGCAACAGCTGAGACCAAATACAAATGCAGCTCTGTATGTGATGCAGTACCCCAGAGCCCTCCAAGATCAAACATGGTATTAGTCGTGATAAGTACGAATCCAGTTTTTTTTTAATCAAATGCATATGCAGTGCACCACACCTTGCATGCATATATACTTCAGCAAAGTTAAAACAATAGGTGCTTCCCTATGACGAGGGTCATCGTGCTGACAGTCTGTTACCGTCCAACACACAATAGTCTATGAGTAAGCACTCATCAATATTCCTCACTATCAAGCCCAGGCAAGTCACAACTACAGCAATCTTGAAAATCAGCTTCCGCCTCACTAGGTAAGAGCTGCATTTCTGTCAGCAGCTGCAAAGATATGCATCATGTTAAGTAGATATTATTCAAAGTCAGATGACATCACCACTTATCTTCATCATTCACTTGTGAAGAAAAGCATTTGCCACGTTCTAATTATTCATTAAATCTTTAAATGCCTCTGTGCAAAATCGCCTCCTCCCCAATTTATCAAAATCTAACGCATGCATGGATCATATGCCCTGACTGCAAAGACTTTACCAGTAATCTGTTGAATTTCTGAAGCCTTTATTTCCACTTTTATTTAGGGGAAAGAACCATATGCATCCCCCCCCACTCTCATTGCACTACATGTGATTATGTGTTCTACTCCAAAAATTACAAAAAAAAAAAAAAGCAATTTGAAAGGAAGTATAAGTCTTACCTTGAAACACAAATCAGAGGTGAAAAGGACAAGAAAGCACAGATCCCCTGCAGATCCAGCATTCATCCATGTATTCAGCGGGTGCCGGGGTACCATCCGACCGCTGGAGCAGTTCTCGCAGGCTGCGGGAGTGCTGAATGAGAGGCAGCCGGTGCAGTGACAGCTGGAGGAGTTGTGGCACATCCGGGCAAAGATTCAGGTTATCGGGATAGGAGAGTGCATAGAAGGGGGGGTGAACAAGCAGACAGTCATTGTCTCCAAGCCTCACTGATACCCCCCACCCCCTCTGGCTTCTACTCCATCCTTTCCCCCCCTTTTGTGTCCCTCATACACCTTTATTCAAGCATCACTGACACTCGTTCGCTCCTGTCCCCTGCACTCACCGGGAACAGGCACTCACACACAGGCAGCGGAGATCTCCATCTCGTGGTGCTGCTGCTGTTGCTGCAATCCCTGTTCATTCGTGATTGTGCAAATGTGTGTGTGTGTGTGTGTGTTTGTGTGTGTGTGTGAAGGAGGGCAGGGTGTGGGGGGCTGGGCTCATGTTAGGATGGGTGGGTGGATGGTAGGAGAGAGGAGGACGAGCAGCAAGGGGTACTGTAAGCAAGCTGCTGGGGAAAGTCCAGAGTTGGTGAGCTGCATTGTCGGCAAAGACCCCCCCCCCCAAAAAAAAATAAATAAATAAATAAAAGCTTGTCGCCCACAGGCTGGCTCCCTTGACACTGAGCTCTTATATAATCTGAAGGGCTTTGGGAGGAGGCAGGGAGGGGGAGGGAAGGGGTGGGTGAGAAATAATGATACATTGTGTTTTTAATTGGATGTCTTCTGCCCTCCTGTTACTTTCATACATCTGACACATTGTTTATTAGAAGTGGTGCTTGTGTGTGTGTCCGTGTGTGATGGTGGTGGAGGGGGGTTCCGTGTCTTCACAAAGAGGGGAGTACGGGGAGACAAAGAGCCAACAGGGCAGCGGTGTTAATGAGAATACGAGACAGGAGAGAAAATGAAACAGGGTGAGGGAATAAAGGAGACAGTGAAACAGAGAAGAAAAGCCCAGAGAGGGAAAAAAAAACTTGTCTGAAAATGGAGAAATTGGGATTTTTAATTCATCTTAAGTTTCTTTCTAAAATACTTTATAGATTCATATCGTCTTGTGTCCAGTTTTTTACCGAGTCAATTCACGAATGATGATATAGTCAGTTTAATTTTTTTTCTTGGTAAGGGATGAAAGCTGAAGTTTATAATAAAGTTAGAAAACCAACATGGCAGCTTAAGGTGTTCGAGTAAAGTTAAACACTTTCTCTGAAGTTGTGGTCTTGCCAACGGCAAATATAACAACATAGATACACACAAATCCAAACTTGGGATGCAAATAGATTTTTTTACAAGAAGCATCAAAGAGCATTAAAGAGCCTTCAATGTTGGTATGTTCATCAAGTCTGCAGCAGTTTTAAGGAATACATAAAATAATGATCCAAGCTACACACTTTACACCCACATTGTCTTGTGTCAGTCATCTATTAACTTACAGCTTCTACCACAGCAACTGTTAACTCAAATACTGTAAAATTGACTGTTTAGACCATTTAGGTGTTTGCTAATGTTGATTAACTGTGGCAGTCATCTTGAATTGAGCTGTTTGTGTTTTAATTAAACTTTAACAGTTGTGTCAGTGCCATACTTTGTATAAATCTATCATCATGCATTACTATCATCTGCTGTCTTAAAAGTCTATACAAAGAACATACGGGAGCACTATATGAACAAATTCAAACAATAATGAACCAACAGTAGGCTATATGTTTATACAGGAATAAGAAAATCCAAAATAAACAGGTTAAACAAGTTAGAAACAAACAGGAAAATGTGGATTTCTACAAATAAAAACATTGTTATGCAAGTTGGGAATACGTAGAATATGCTTTTTGTGCTTTCTTTGTTCTAATCAATTTTTGGGATATTTTAAAAGAGCTATATCAGGTAAAATCAACTTTTTTGAGCTTTACATCATGTTATAATGCTATCCTCTCATCAAAGCATGTCCAGAGTCTTACTTTGACTCATTCATGCATGTTTGAGAAATCCTGTGGTGTCCTGAGGCAGCCAGGCAGGGGAGCAAAAACAGCTGTTTGGGCCTAGAACCGCCTTTTAGGAGCAGCCCTATGGGCTCAGATTTTAGTCGAATCGAATTTGTACTTGTAAAACTGACTTTGTATTTGTAGATTAAGAT